ATCGAAAGTGAAAACCTAAAAAAACAGTTTTGTTTATTCAAGAATCTATTTTTGACCAACTTTTCCCGAATGTTCAAACAAAGCTATGGTGTATGGTGAGCATCAGATACATGAAATATCATTTATCCACTCCGCATCACGAGTGGTATGGCATTATTATTATTATTGATAAGAAGTTAATGAAAGTTTTAGTGACGATATAACAGATAATAAATAATATTTTGATAAAGACATATAATAGGACTGCTATTTATCATTCCGAAAGAGGTTTTTTTACGTATTCAATATACAATGTGTTCTCAAAGTTGAGTGGAACTCATAAAGATAAGTCACTTTACCAAAAATCCTAGTACTACACACGAAATTATATTCTTTTACCAGAGAGGGAGTAGATCAATAATGATTATAGTTGTAATGAAGTTTCTCCATTTTAATATTTCAAATGATTTCCCATTGATCTATTTTTAGTGATTCACACGAGACCAACGAGACGAGACTTTCATAAAGTCTCGTCTCGTTTAGCCGATGAAATATGAAGTCTTGTCTCGAGTCTCGTCTCGCAGCCCCGAGTCTCGTCTTGTCTCGCGTCTCGTACGAGAGTCTCGCAAATGTATCGCAATTTCGTCATGCATAATCTTGTTCCAGTCTAGTACGGGATATTTACCTGCACCTACTTCTTAGGTATTATGTAGGAGTAGGAAGATGAAATATCAACAAAAATAACATTTTTTATTGAAAAACAAGAAAAAAAACATAGCATTATATATTTGGAAGTAATGAAAATGAAATGAAAAGTAACACGTATCGATCAGCAAAGTATTAATTTTTCTGCCTAGGCAGCAAAGTGGTTACTTTGCTGATTGATATGTATCAGCAAAATCAAAAATCCATAAATCGTTTATAATTTCCTTCATATTCCATCCGAGACTTCTCCGGCAACAAATTCCGGCAACAAATTCAATGCCACCGGCAACAAATTCAATGCCACCTCCCTTATTAATGGAGGTGTAAGTATACTTCCAGGTCGCTATCACTGTCCATTATATAATAATTTAAATATACCGATATTTTTTCGCACAACTGTCAAAAATTTCATGAATTGTCAAACCAACAACTGCGATTTCTATCAAATTTTATTTTAATTGAACACTATATACAGGAAGAATAAAGAGATTGTGGGAATTGTATTAATTCGCAAATACAATATTCTCCCATATCATTATGAACAATCGGAGAAAAAATTATATGTTCAACTCGGCAGCAAAGTAGATTGACTGCCTTAGCTGGATTCCTAGCCTCGCTACGCTCGGCTATGAATTCAGCCACGGCAGTCAATCTACTACTTTGCTGCCTAGTTAAACAAATAACTATAATCCAACATTATTCCGCCGTAAGAGAGAGAAGAGTCCGTTTTCGTTTCACGCATTACGTCGTTTTACATCAATCACGGATTGTGTTTTTAAAGTATTTATGAATGACATGTTTTGTCCATCTGTGCTAAATAGTCTGAATTCTTTCTAAATATGTTGTACTATGAATGAAATTCTCAAGTCTGCAGTCGGCACGCAGAAATATCTACCCGCGAGACTCTCGCACGAGACACGAGAAGTCTTGCACGAGACTCGAGACGAGACCAATGAGAGTCTCGTCTCGTCTTGCTTGAGTCTCGTCTCGAGTCTTGTCTCGAAAACGAGACGAGACCATGCGAGACTCTCGAAAACGAGAATCTCGCGGGCACCACTATCTATTTTTCACCTTTTATATTTGAAATTTGAATAACCTGATCTGATCTTGGCTCAACAATCACGAACGAGATTTTAATGAAAGTGTTATTTCTAGGAAACCCTCAAAAATAGGTATAATGTAACCAGCACAGTGTTTCTTTCTTTGGAAAATACTACTTTTGATCATATAGAGTTTTTGTCAAACTCATTAATTCCACATTCATGTTAATCATCTCAACAACTCCTAGTCTCCAACTCTCTTCATTCATGTGATGGAATATTATTGTGGACATTATCAAAAAACGTTCTATTACACGAAGACGTTTCAAGTGAATTATGAGATTTGATCTGGAACGAACTCAGTATAAACTATTGATTTTGATTATGTCATGATATAAAGGGTGTGCCATTCAAAAGTAGGTAGTTCATTTCCTGTACAAGCGGAATCAGTCTTTCAGTAAGTATACACGGCCCAAATCAGCTGCGAATATTAGTCTTGGATGTTAGCAGATGGTTCTGAAACCACGGATGGGCCTGCAGCCGGTGTGTTCAGCATGAAACCTAAAACTGATCTCTGTCCATCTAGGAAAGTATGGTATGAGCTTTCAAATGAAAATTCTCGTTATCGAATTGTGTGAGAAATAGCTCACTGGCAGACCTCTAGTGAACAAAAATATGAGACAGCCAGAGGCTGCTTTCAAAGCACTGAACTACAGCAAGATGAACCCCGAGTTTGAGAAACCCTTGACTACTTTATAAAGAGTGCCTTGATGCTAACAACAGAGTTACTTTGTTGTGGGTGCCCGACATCATCACCTAAAAGGAACCCGAATTGTTTATGGGACCAGGAATATACTTTTGTGTCACCACAGGTACCTAGGGCAGGAACAATTATTCCAGATTGTCAAAGTAAAGAGACTCATACAAATCTGACCTACCAGAATTGACACATTCGAAGGCTAAAAATAGATTAGAAAATAGAAATAACCTTCGAATTCTTAAAGAACTGCTTGAACTTATAGGAACATATTTTTCAAGATGCCACCTAGGGAATAACTGAACGGATTATCAGGGGTAATACGATGAGTGCTCGCAATATGGTGATTCTGAATTCTGTCAGAAATCAACGAGATCCAATTCATTGGTAACACTACGACTCCGCAGGACAAATGGCATTACCTCGAAACAATTTAATCGAATTCAAGATTCCTTACGGGTTTTTCGATAGTATTGTGAGCGTGAATTATATACAGGGTGTCCCAAAATTAGCCTGCCAAACTTCACCAGCGGCTTCATTGACCAAAAATAGGAAAAAAAGTTCCAATGAACATGAGTCGAGAAATGTCTCCCAAGAGAGCTACGGCCCCCTGAAAGCGGGCTCCTGAAGATGACGTTTCATGAATATTTCCGAAACTCCTTATGATAAATAGGAGCAGTTTGGTAGAAGAACTGAACTTGCCATGCCTAATGGAGTGAAGATGAAATCATTTCAAAATTTCAATCAGGAGTGTATAATAGTGGGGCTACATTAAATATTGCTCAAACTTTTTCGTATGCATATATTTTTTGACAATTTAATCTCGAATTATGAAAATCTACACCGTTTAACAAAAAAACGTGCACATGTTCCGCATCAATCAGATATATCATTTTCGAGTGAAATCGATTTAAAAATATTGATGCACATCTTATGCATAACGTTGCCAATTTTCAAATCATATCATGTAGTGGCTATAAAAATCAAGAACTTTCTTTTCACCAATATCATAAAAGTGCGAAAATCGGAAAATGATGATGAAAAAACTAAAAACAGGTAAATTATTTTGCATTTTTTCCATTTCCACGCCTCATTGCAATGTTATGCATAATATCTGCAATACCTATTAGATTCGAGTGTCATTCCTGGGAATCTCGCATCAGTACAGTGAATTCGGGTTAATTATAACAGTGGTGGCTATATCTTCATGAACGAGTAGTTCATAAAATGGCGAAAGCTACCTTGAAAAGGAGTATATACCAAACTAACACAAAATAGTTATTCATACATCAAGGTAGTAAAGCATATCAGTATTACCCATCAGGGACCAAGGCTTTTCTACCGAGGGGAATCAGGTCCAAGGAGTATATTACATTTTTTTCACCCCTAGCAATACATTTCAATCATTTTAGTTCTATGAAACTGAAATATGGACCTATTGCCACAATGAAAGCACTTCTTTTCATATTCTTCAGTACCAAGGTGTATATTACATTTTTTCTGTGACGGGAAAAAAGTTTGGCATTTCATCTCTGTTGGCAGGTTATAAAATGTCACTTTTCATAAATTACTTTTTTCCCGGATATATGTATATCACATATATATATTCTGTTAATGGCTTTTATTGTGCTATAGTTCCGAAAAATGAGTCAATAATATACCGTCTCCGAGAAAGAACTGCAAGTCCTTTTATATCTTCCATTCCACTTCGCGGTTTCGTATATTACAAAACAACTACTGAATTCGCAATTTTTTAAAATCAAATCACAGAATTGAACTGACAGAAGTGACATCAGATATTTGATTACTTCAAAAGAATGATAAAGATGCCTATAAAACGCAGGTGTCCCTATACTGTTAAAAACTTGAAATTTCATGTCGATAACTTTCAGATTTCGAAATAATGTAATATCTTCTCAATATTGATCCGTCCTTCCTTCTGTCACAGAAAAAAATAGTGTATTATACACGGGAAAAATATAAGATTTTAGCTCACGGTTTTTTGTCTCCCTCCGCTACGCGTCGGGAGACAACACAACCTGGAGCTAAAATCTACTACTTTTTTTCCCTTGTATAATAAATAACTATTGTTACACCACTAGCAATACATTTCAATCATTTTAGTTCTATGAAACTGAAATATGGACCTATTGCCATAATGAAAGCACTCCTTTTTTCAAATCTAATTAAAATCTAGTAGCCATTACCATATGACAGCATATGACATGTCGTTATTGATAAATTCCTACTAGATTCGAGTGATTCCTGCGAATCTCGGATAAAAACAATGCATTCGAGTTAATCACGACCAAGGTGGCTATGTCCTTATTGACTAGTAGTTCATAAAATGACGAAAGCTACCTCGGTAGTGAAAACACACTTCACGCCTTGAAAGGAGTACATAATGGTAGGTTCTAGAGCTAGTAATGGAAACACTTGATATATTTCCAGGGCCCACTATTATAAACATGATACGGTTGCCAACCCCGAACAATCTCAAGCAAGCGGAGCCAACTCACCTGCGCCAGCCCCCGGTCGAGGCTCAGCAGCTGCCTGACCTCGTCGTAGAAGGCCTTGTCGGCCCTTCCGAGGTCGCCCTCGTAGGGCTGTCCATGGCCAGCGGCCGCGAAAACGCACAGGCATAGAACGACGACGACGGCGGTGACCATGGCCGACTGCGATCGATGGCTGGACGAACGCTGCAGCTGGAGAATGGAGACGCAGGACGCAGCAGGAGTAGCGAGACGGCGACGGCGGGAATCTCTATGGCGGGTTTCGGGCGTCTGCGCGGTTTCGAAGTAGCGTCTAGAGACAGGGTGCAAGATATCTATTCACGCAAAGAAAAAGGCTGTAAAGAATACTAGAAAACTAGTGAAGTTCTCTGGGAAAAACGGTTGATATATGGACAGACATTCTTCCCAGTAAACTTCACTTCTGAGTTCAAGTAAGATGTTAAAAAGGAACATTCTCAGATATATTTATGAACACAAAAAATGGATATATATATATGAAGAAATACATTCCTCCATGTGATGAAAAAATTAAAAAATTAATTCTTTCTCAACAGAAAACAACTACTTTCCTGGCTATATGCCACGATGAATATTGAATCACAGCTATTGAACACACACGATAAGAATTTGAAAACAAAATCTTATGAAGTAGAGAATGTGCATTCTCCTTCATATAAAGATATGCATATAATATAATTCTGAATATTCAACAGAAAACAACTAATTTCCTGGCTATTTGCCACGTCGAAAATCAAATTATATCTGTTGAATATCCAAAAACATCATCTCTCAAATCGAATAGAATAATATGATGTATTATGATATAAAAATATAACTTACCGATATGTTCAGTATTGAAATGAAAATTGAAATGTATAGGAGAAGTATACTTTCATGAACTCTGATCTTGATGAGCTTGGAACTTAAAAAAAATCATTCGTATCAGTGATATGGAAATTATATCTCTCACAAACAGGTTATATGAATTCATTTCGGATATCATATCCTTATCAGTAACCTGAAGTCCAGTTATTCTTTCAGCCATTCTTCATGATATACACAATTTTCATCTCCCTATAATATAACTAACACTATAACGGACTGACATCTGAGAATTATTATGATTTGTTGACATAATATACTCCTGTCATTTGGGCATTGATTTTTTGGATGTATGATAAATTGACATTCATCATACAGGACGTGGAAAAAAATTCTGAATTTTTGAAAAACCTGATCACGAATCTGCGATTGAGGTCTTCAGAAATAACAAGAAATACATTGAGAATTCGCATTCTCCATGTGATGGAAATATTAATTCTTTCTCGATCTATTCAACAGAAAACAACTACTTTCCTGGCTATATGCCACGACAAATATTGAATTTTCTCAATACAGACTTTCTTTCCACGTCCTGTATGATGAATTTCAATTTATCATATATCCAAAAAATCAAGTAAGATGATGTAATATACTGGCTACATCACGAACAGGGTGGATTGACTACCGTTCAACCATATTCATATTTATTACATGAGGAGGAGTGCATTTAACAAATATTTAACAGCACTTCTTCATTGCATTCAATATTGCGCTCGATCACTATGGTATAGTGGACTTCCCTCTTCAATGTCCTGAAAAGTACTTGTACATTGTAGTCGGATTTACTATGCAGGAAAGTGATAATATGAATCCACACCTCCATTATCTGGAGTAGTATATTATACTCTGATGAATGTATATGCGGCAATAATTTCTAGTTACGGACTTTTCTCATTGACATTCGTTTTTGAATCAAGTTTCTAGCAATGATAGAACTCGAGCAATCGAGTTCCGACGCACTAATGCCCCACCCTGTATAGCTTCACAAACTTTTCTGTGGATTATTATACCATTGATTACCACTATATCATTCTCAAATTTTATATAAAAATTTAAACTTCATTTATAGAAAATAAAATAGTTGAAAAAATCAATTCGACCCAATAATCGACATGAGAAAATTTGTATCGTACCTAATATCGACACATGTGGGTACGTAAAACTGACACTTGATAGCATTGTTTCGAAGTGGGTATCCACTTACATAATTCGATAATAACTAAACTAACTACTAACTAACTAAAAACATAAAATGATAATCTCAGTGACGTAGCTATATGACAGTCAAATATAGGCATGAGTTGGTAGGTATGCACATCGCACAGTTTTCGTTTATTCCGCCAGCATTCATGATCGCGTAATCGCCGTCAACAGCAGACGATATAACTGTCAAGAATTATAATTCATACTGTTCGTCCGAACTTTTTTTTATGTACTATATGGCCGTAGGTAAAGTATAGTACGTAATGCGTGTTGTAAAGCAATTACGCACTCATGGAATTACGCACTCGCCGCTCCGCGGCTGCTTGCGTGACTTTTCCATTCGTGCGTAATATGCTTCTTACAACACATATTACGTAATAAACTATTAGCACCCCCACCAATATCGACGCCCCTGGCTATATAGCGAAGTTATTTGAGTATGGAAAACTCAATAATCATATCCACGAGTGGATAAACCGGAATAATCCTATTTGTGATGCCGATAGAACTATGTTATGAAAACCATAAATAACCTATAGAACCTAATGAAATTTCATCGTTGTTTAATTCGATTTCAGACAAGTATGGCATTCATACAGGACGATTCCTTGTAAGGGGTACAATATTTCATAATATTGTTACGTTATTCGGGTGCAGAAGCGAACACGACAATATTTATTTTCCAACTGATTTATTTAAACTAATGAAACACTAATTTATATCGAACTTATAACTACTATTCATGTTTGACTGACTGACTCAGTTGTTCGGCCGTTTTATATATGAGAACACAGGCAGGCTTTGGTTCGAGAACCTTCTCGAAATGATCTTCCGTCTCCTTCTTTTTGTTCTAGAAGCTTCTTAGAACAAACCTCTCTCTCTAATTGTTCCATCGATTGTTTCCAGAACATTCCAGAATCTTCTGTGACGTTCTTTGTCACTGCGGCATATATTGAGTGTTCGGAGAAATGTTGGTGTATGTAGGAATCATTGAGAGGTTGGAGAGCAATCTGGGATGCGTGATACAGGATGATCGTTGTACTCCTACCTTCCTGCTGATGTTTCTAAAGCGCCTCCAAGGGAAATATCATTACAATATACTATTAGAAGTAGGTTAGTTGCAATTGATAAATACGACGAAATCAAAAATTTCTTGTTCGAAGTCAAATGCCTTAGAATTGAAAGTTGAAAAAATGTTAGCCAAAAATATACAAGAGGAATAGATTTGAAGCACTTATATCATTAGATCTTTGTCATTAGTGATAATACCTCAATCAAGTGTATGAATTACCTGATTATCTGCAAAAAATCAGGTGTTAATTGAAAGTTAATAAAGAAATGGACTGCGTTTTTTTGAACGCCGACTGCTTTGAAAATGTGACCGCATCAACCGGCAGACTCAGGTTCTTGATTCTCTACATAAGTTCAATATCTTTCCACTGGCGGTAATTTCATCCAGGCGTCATTTTGGGAAAGCATTTGCGCCTCCCCCACGTGATTTCCTACAAAAAATAATTTCACAATAAATTTTCCTGTATCAAAGACTCACAAATACAAAACGAAACAGATCAGTATAGGTACTTACATTGAAAAATATCTATTATTTGAAAATGTTCTGTATGTCATGCAGTATAATATTTGGTATCATATATGAAATGTACCTGGAGAAGGAACCAATATCGTGAAATTGAAAAACTGGCACCTTCAGTCATTCCTGAATATCAACGAAATGAATCACTATTAACAGATTATTACTCAGACTGTCATTTTAAGAAATGAACCTTCTTGGTTAACATCTTAGAAATACTTTTCACTTCTATCTATGTAATAAATATAATTATGTAATGAAGTTGTTGCCACTCTGGAAAAATTTTAAATCTCAATTTGATTGCATTTGACCTTGAACAAAAATGCGGAATGAACAACACACCTAGAATATCAATCCTCTCGTAACTTATGAGGGGGCAGATTTTACTCTTTGCTCTTGGTCAATTATCATACTGTTTCATTTGATTCCCAATAGGTATAGGTAATATCTTCTCAGGTAATACTACTTGTGGGTGTATAAACTATAGTTTTTGCTCATTGTCCTAGGAATTTTCGAAGTTCTTGTACCCACTGCAAATTTGTGGAATAAATGGATACACGCCGCTGTATATAGTGGCTTTGGATCAAAATGCCATTATCATGCCATCACATGAACTGCGAGGTATATTCGAAATAAAGGGGTAGACTAATTTTAATGCAATTTTCGTCCATGTTCAACATGAACATCGTGGTCATATAGAGTTCAGAGTCATTAACTTCCAATCAGCAGCAAACTTAGACCACATCATGCGCATGTTAATGATTGCATTGTATTTATAGAAGAATATTGGATTTATGAGAGAGAATAAGAATGGTAACACCGCATTGTCTCAGTCACGTAATCGATAAAATTCTCTAAAACTTCGGATAAATTGGTATCATTTGCTCACAGGTATATAATCATTCAAAAATCTAAAATGATAAACCTATAAGAGGGTCTCTTATCTCACGCGACAACTTTTATTATACTTTGAATAATTAATAATTTATGGTGGGAGGTATGAATAAAATGCTGTGATTTTCAAAATAAAGTTTATTTTCATATGGTATGATGGAAATTTTATAATTCATAGGCAGTGCTATAATAGTGTGTGAGTCAAAACAGAATCAGTCTTTCTGCAACCATTACTGCAACCAAAACAAGATGTATCCTCTGCTCTAACTTTTCATGGTTTGAAATTGTTTTTTCAAAAAATAATGAATATAAGAAGTTATAGATTGAAATTAATATCTGGGTTTCTCAGGAAGTCATTTCTTGCAGTTGCTATCTGATTTCTTCCAAACAAATATTCATGAAAAATAATCGTTTTCAAAGTATAGCTTATATGCGAAGAATTTTATTGGTTCACAAAAATTCAGTGAATATTCTAGAAATTATACTCGCATAGAAACTTCCAATCCAGAACTTTATGACAGTTTTTCATTTTCGATAAAATGATTTCTGGGCCTTTGAATGTGGGTGCGCCAAAATTGTACAAATGCATGGTTTTTCATATTCGATGTATGTATCTATCGATCCCTCTCCTTCATCCTTTC